ATACCTGGGCTCTTTGCCCTAGGCCAGCAATCCTGTCAGTTCAACCTGGACTTCCGTAATCACATCTTCACCAACTCTCTGCCTCCCTCTTTCAATGATAAGGACCTTTGTGATGACATCGGGCCTACTCGGATAATCCAGGATATTCTCCCCATTTCGGGATCCTTAATTTAGTCACATCTGCACATAGCCTTTTGCCATGTAAAATGGCTTGCTTACAGGTTTTGGGGATTAGGATGTGGTTATCATTGAAGGGTTATCATTCTTCCTACCACAGGATATGTATTGTCCCTTTAGCAGTTCACATCTCCAGCATCTAGATAGGAGCCTTTTTTGTTTGCATGGGGAATATTTAGAGGGCAGTGAATCATAAGGAGAAGAAACACATAAAAAGTTTTTTTAGAGACTAACAGCAAGCACCGAAGTGTGAGAAGACCCTCAGTGGTAGGAACCCCCAAAAGATCTCTTTAATCAATAAATGAATACATGAGAGATATAGAAGTCCTGGATACCATAAAATTTTAGTTATCTGGAACCTCAGGGAATACCTTTTTTAGAGAGGTTATCCCTTACCAGTCAAAATTTTTAAAAATACATATAACTGGCCAGGTGTGATGGCTCACGCCTGTAGTCCCAGCACTTTGGGAGGCCAAGGCATGTGGATCACCTGAGGTCAGAAGTTCGAGACCAGCCTGGCCAACATGGTGAAACCCCATCTCTACTAAAAGTACAAAAATTAACCGGGCATGGTGGCGGGTGCCTGTAATCCCAGCTACTCAGGAGGCTGAGGCAGGAGAATCGCTTGAACTGGGGAGGCGGAGGTTGCAGTGAGCCAAGATCGCACCACTGCACTCCAGCCTTGGCAACAAGAGTGAGACTCCATCTCAAAAAACAAAAGCAAAAACAAAAAAACATATAAGTGACCTCCATGGCAAAAGCTCTGATATTTATTCTTTTGTCAAATCTCCACTTTAATTTGTATTACAGAAATAAATCAGATGGGTAAAAAATTAAACTACAAATGAGCTCCTAGTGAAAAGGAATGTTCTCGTGCAACTCCTTCTTCTCTTCCTCCAGTCTGACTCCTCAGAGGCAATTACTTCTGATGATTTCTGTTCCTAATTCATTTTTCAGGTCACCCCCAAATCTCTAAATAATATGTTTATTCATTTTCTAAAATTATCAAAAAATTAGACATTAACTACTGCGCTATTGCAAGGATTTATGTCACTTATACCACCCTTCCCTCCTCACACTACCCTGCACCCTGCAATCTCATGCTGTACTCAGTTTCTCCCTGTCGGCTCTGAAACTTAGTACCGTACACTTAGACCTACATTTCTTGTTCTATTAGTGGGGGAAAGTTCTCGTAAAAACACATCACACCTTTATTATCTTTTTTAATTTATCTTTATTCTTTAAAAAGTAATAATTAGAGGGAAATATCTTTTGGCTTTTGTTTTTATAAAATAAGAACACTTACACACCCACCCTGCCTTCCATTTCTCCCTCCCTTCTACTTCCCAGTATCTTACAGCTGTGCTTTCATATTGTCAAGGTTGATCATATTCCTTCTGAGACCTTAAAATCTATTCTGTAACATTACTAAGATTGGTCTTTGCAGTAATTCTGAACATTGAAAAGACCCATATATGGTGTATATTGTTTAATTCTGTAAATATTGTACACTGCATAATGGAATAATATGTTAGAATTAAAATTCCTTCTCTCTTGGTTCGATCTCATGAGCAGAATACTACTGAAACATTCTTCCTAGAATCAAATAGATGAGAAAATTCATCTCTCCCTTTCCCTCCCAATTATGTATACTAAATCTTCAAGTTTTTCTCAGTTTTCAGTCATTTCATCTCTTTTTCTTCTCTCCCTTCTCCCTTCCTTCTGGAGAGCTCCCTCTTTTTCCAGACTCCCACACAGCTCTTACTCCGAGGCTCCACGCCCTTCCCTGCTCTTCTGTGTTGCATCCACTCTTTTCTGAATCACATTTCTCCTCTTTCTTGCTTTATCTCCTCATTTTGCTAGAATTAAAATTTCCGAGTCATCAGATATCTGCAAGTTTCTGTATTGTTGCTACATATTTATTTTATGAGTTGGCTGCAAATAGGATTCACTTTAAATTGCTTTTTCCTAGGATTTGGAATGTATTTCTCCACTGATACCAGTCTGATTCCTGGGCTCTTGATGGGTGACCTGTTTTTCTCTTTGGAGGCATTAAACACCTTCTCTTTGTTCTTGAAATTCAAAAATTTAACAATGATGGATCTGAGTGTGGGTGTTTTTTATTCATTATAAAGGTGAAGTTTTGACAGTTTTCATCAAGACCCTCTCCATCCCCTCCTCTTAACGCTGTAATCTCATGTCAAATTACCACCCCTGGCTCAGCTTGCTCCAGCCACACTGACGTCCTCTTTCCTTGAACATGCCTGAACGTCTTTTCACTGGCTATTCCTTTGATATGGAAAGCTCTTCTCTCAGATATCTGCTTGGCTCACTCCCTTACCTCCTCAGAACTTTGTTCAAATGTCACTTTCTAAAATGGCAACCTGTTCTAACTGTCCCATTTAAAATTGTAATTCCTCTCATCCAAGCACTCCTAATTCTTTTATCCTGCTTTTATTTTCTTCATAGTTATCTATCACTAAATTGCATACTACGTAAAAAATATGTGCAAACCCGTACATATATGTGTGTATGTATGTATATGTGTATATGTTTATCTTTGTATATGTGTATGTTTATGTATGTGTGTATATATTTATATTAGTTTGCTAGAGTTGCCATAACAAAATACCACAGACTGTGTGGCTTAAACAATAGAAGTTTATTTTTTATTTTGTTTATTTTTTTCTTTTCTTTTCTTTCTTTTTTTTTTTGATGGAGTCTCGCTCTTTCACCCAGGCTAGAGTGAAGTGTTACGATCTCGGCTCACTATAACCTGAGCACTATAACCTGCCTCCTGAGTTCAAGTGATTCTCCTATCTCATCCTCCCAAGTAGGTGGGATTACAGTCGTCCACTACCAACCTGGCTGGTTTCGCTATGTTGGCCAGGCTGGTTTCGCCATGTTGTTCAGGCTGGTCTCGAACTCCTGACCTCAGGTGATCCACCTGCCTCGGCCTCCCAAAGTGCTAGGATTACAGGCGTGAGCCACCGCACCTGGCCTAGAAGTTTATTTTATCACAGTTTTGGACGCCAGAAGTTTGAGATTAAGACATCAGCAAGATTTGTTTCGTCTGAGATTTTCTTCATGGCTGGTAGATGGCTGTCTTCTCCCTGTGTCTGCTTTATATGGTCCTCCCCTGTAATTCTGTGACCAAATGTCCTCTTCTTAAAGGATCCCAGTCATATCCCATTAGGGCCCACTTTAATGAACTACTTTTAACTTAATTACTTCTTTATAGACCCTGTCTGTAAATATAGTCACCTTCTAAGGCACTAGGGGTTAGGACTTCGACAAAGGAATTTTGCAGAGACACAGTTTAATTCAAAACATACTTAATTTTTTATATTCTATCTCCCCCAGCTAGAATGTAAGTTTTATGAGGTGAAAGATTTTTTACTATTGTTCTCTCTATTGAGATATACTTACTACCTAGAACGATGCTCAGCATATAATAGATGGTCAATAAATAATAATGAATATATTATCTTTCTAGTAATCCTATTAGTTGGATTTTGAACCTATGTAATTGATCCACCTTGTCTCATTTTCAGTCAGTCTGTTACTGTTCTCCTTTTTGTGGAGAGGTTTCTTCAATCTTAACTTCCAAATACTTCTACAGAATATTCTTTATTTTGGTAACCATATATTTAGTTTCTGAGAACTCTCTTCTTGATTCTTTTTCATGGCATTCTGTTATTGTTTTATGGATATTGTATCTTTGCTGATCTATCTGCGTTTAAGAGATCATATTTCTCTTTTGTTCCCTGAATTTTTTGTTTCTTCCTGCGTCATTATTGTTTATTTTGTTCTTTCTCTTACATATTGCTTAAGCATTTCTGATCCTTAATTATGTAACAATCCTTGGTTATGCATTTTTATTTAATAATGAGACAATAAAAGTCCTAGAGGTGTATTTTAAGGACGAGACCTATTATCTGGTGATACAACTTTCTGAAGAGCTGACTGTTACTCCATAGGCTCTCTTCATGGTAGAATGCAGAGATCTTTGATTTGAGTTCTGAAACTCATAGTGGTTGCCTTAGGAGTCTTCCCAAATAGTTTATTCAGCTTTCTTAGATAAAAACCTTCCAACTTTTTACCTGGTTGCCCAAATTGCAATATATGGAAGTATGGAATCAATGACTTCTTATGTATGCTTTTGTATGTATGCTTTGTTTTTATTTTTACTCCCATCGATTTAAAGACAAACTCATTATTCTGTTCTCTACCCTCATTTTCCTACTTTTTGAATAACAAAACAATCAACCAGTCTAACCTACTCTCTCTATCTTTTCCATGTTGATTGGTCTGATTATCATTTTCCAAGTCATGCAGCGATAAGTTAGAAGGAAATAGGTGTAAGATCAGAGGTTGGGCACAGTGACTCATGCTTGTAATCTCAACACTTTGGGAGACCAAAGCGGGAGATCACTTGAGATCAGGAGTTCAAGACCAGCCTGACCAACATGGTGAAACCTTGTCTCTACAAAAAGTACAAAAATTAGCTGGGCATGGTGGCAGCCACCTGTAATCTCAGCTACTTGGGAGCCTGAGGCAGGAGAATCACTTGAACCTGGGAGGCGGTCATTACAATGAGCCAAGATCGTGCCACTGCACTCCAGCCTGAGTGACAAAGTTAGACTCTGTCTCAAAAAAAAAAAAAAAAAGACTAGAAAAAAGACTAGAAAACATCCAAAGTAATTGCAGTGTAAGTCAGAGTAAAGTTACTTAGTTTTAACTATGTAATCTTTTCTCTCAGACCCCCAGGTTTCTTTCTAATATACTTAACTGATCTTTCACATTTTTCGGATTGTACACAGGTCTGCAATTAAGGCCTTACGTCCTGGAGGGATACTTGTATACTCTACATGCACACTTTCCAAGGCAGAAAATCAAGATGTGATCAGTGAAATTTTAAACTCCCACAGTAACATCATGCCTATGGACATTAAAGGAATAGCAAGGACTTGCTCCCACGACTTCACATTTTCTCCCACTGGCCAGGAATGTGGGCTCTTAGTGATTCCAGATAAGGGCAAAGCCTGGGGCCCAATGTATGTAGCCAAATTGAAGAAATCATGGAGCACAGGAAAATGGTGACATGAATTTGTAAACCGTGTTTATGTGTTATTATATTTATTTTTCTGAACTCAGTACATTTAAATAAATATTTAAATAATTATGCAGTAACTTTCTCTGGGTCTGTTTGGAATCCTATTTAGTTAATACTTTAGTGTCTTAGAATCTAGGCTTGAGAATCGTTCAGGTGTATTTTTTTCCTAGAAATATATCTGCAGCAATGATTTAAGGTGGTGCAGATGGTGTTTGTTCTATATAATAAATCTGCTGTCTTTGCTTGGCATTTTATAGTTAAATTAATCAGAATATGTGGTTTTATGCATAACATGTTTAGATCTGTATTCTCTCTATGATAGTGCTTTGAACCTTCAAAAATGCACACTTGCCAGCGCTCTGACCATTTTCCCCCATATCAAATGTACAGATTTGTTCAAGGTTCCCCCTGCCACACTTTTGTAACTGATTGTCTCAGAACTGATTGGTATTCTGAGACTAACTTTTTAAGCAGTACTATTTCTAGTTCTAGCAAAATAGCTGTTTTATTTGCAAAGTTGTTTTCTGTTAAAGACTATCCTATGTTTACTGCGAAGGTCAGTGACTCTATTGACACCAGCTTTATTTCCGCCCCTTTTTTTGCATTCGCAAATACAAATTGAAAGGGTAAATTATGTTGAAAGGCCTTTAAAACAGCAGATTCACATGCACATGTTTGACTTTCGACATTCAGCTTATAGAATTATGGAGTCTATCCAGCAGGCTATAAAGCAAGTGCTTGAGACAAAACCAGAATGATTAATAACTGCAATAACTGAGCTATATTTGGAGGGTTTTGTTACATAATTGCAGTCATAATGAGCACTACAGAATCTGATTATCTTACATTCACAATCTGGAAGGGCTTTTTATTTCACTTTGTTATAAAATGTTCTATGAGAATATGATGTCACATATTAATGCACAAGATGGAGATGCCTAATGAGAGTGGATTATGTGATTACCAGAACCCAATGCCATTTACTAAGTGGCTCTCTATGTTTACATAAATCGTGGGAATACTGTATACATTTCTTTCTATGTTCTTAGGGTTTTAGCTTTGGTTAGAATCACACGTTTTCTCCAGAAATTACTTCACTTAGAGTCCAAACATATTTTTCCAACTATTAAGAAAAATTATGCAGCACATCTCAAAAGATAGCATCTCTTTGGAAACCGGCCTTTTAAAAAAAAAAAAAAAAAAAACTTCATCTGATTATAGAAATACAAAATTCTGCTAAAGCTGGATACTTTTGAATTGTTCATTACATTCTGTGCATTTAAACTAGAGACTATTTGCTTATTAATATTTTTTGGTTTGCAAGCATATGTAACCGAGTTCATATCATCAGGAAGTCTTAGGAAGAATTTTTTTTTCTGTACCTTAAATGTGTTAATCATTTGTTTTTCTTTATGTCCAACTGATATGTTTAAAGTAAAGCTAAAGACCAGGCACGGTGGCTTACACCTGTAACCCGAGCACTTTGTCAGGCCGAGGCAGGGGGATCTCCTGAGGTCAGAAGTTCGAGACTAGCCTGCCCAACATGGTAAAATCCCGACTCTACTAAAAATACCAAAGAATTAGCCAGGAATGGTGGCTAATTACAGACGGGCACCTGTAATCGCAGCTACTTAGGAGGCCGAGGCAGGAGAATCACTTGAACCCAGGAGGCAGAGGTTGCAGTGAGCCAAGATCTCACCATTGCACTCCAGCCTGGGCGACAAGAGTGAAACTCTGTAGCAAATAATAATAATAATAATTAAATAGAAATAAAGTAAAGCTGGAACTCTTGGACCAAATCAATAAAGTAAAGCTAGAACTCTTGAACCAAATCAAGTATATTGGGTAAATACAGAAGGGCAATGATGGTAGAAATGATGTTTTCTTTTTTAAGTTGTCATTATTTGTTTTTTTATCTTCAGACACAATAGGTTTTAAAAATAGGTTTCTTTTGTGTAGGTTAATCACAGAGTAAATCTGCACACTGTACTTTGTTGGATGTCATTATTTTCCCAGTATACCCAGTATAATGTGATGAAGCTTAATCTGAATACTTGGTGTGCTACTGAATTATAGCTTCCTATGATTACTGAAAAATACATGTATCTGTGTTTGTGTGTGTATATATGTAATTTTATTACTTAAAGCAATTGCACCAAAACCAAAAATTGACAAGTGGGATCTAATTAAACTAAAGAGCTTCTGTACAGCAAAAGAAACTATCAACAGAGTAACAGACAACTTACAGGATGGGAGGAATATTTGCAAATTATGCATCTGCCAAAAGTCTATAAGGAACTTAAATCAGCAAGCAAAAAACAAATAACGTTATTAAAAACTGAGCAAAGGACATGAATAGACATTTCTCGAAAGAAGACATCCAAATGGCCAACAAACATTTGAAAAAGTGCTCTTCATCACTAATCATCAGAGAAATGCAAATCAAAACACACTGAGATAATATTTTACACCAGTCAGAATGGCTATTATTAAAAAGTCAATAAAAAAAAAAAAAAAAAAAAAACGGATGCTGGTGACGCTGTGGAGAAAAGGACCTGCTTATACACTGTTGGTGGAAATGTAAATTACTTCAGCCTCTGTGGAAAGCAGTTTGGAGATTTCTCAAAGAACTTAAAACAGAATTGCCATTTGACCCAGCAATCCCATTAGTGGGTGTATACCCACAGGAAAACAAATTGTCCTACCAAAAAAAGACGTATATGCTTGTGTGTTCATCACAGTAATATTCACGATGGCAAAGATGTGGAATCACCCTAACTGCCCATCAACAGTGAATTGAATAAAGGAAATGTGGTACATGTACCCCGTGTGATATTAACACAGTGATAAAAAAGAATGAAATCATGTCTTTTGCAACAACATGGATGCAGGTGGATGCTTTTCTCCTAAGCAAATTCAGGAACAGAAAACTAAATATTAATACATGTTCTCACTTATAAATGGGAGCTAAACATCAAGTATACATGGGCATAAAGAAGGGAACAGTAGACACTGGTGATACTAGAGTGGGGAGGGAAGGAGGGAGGTGTGGGCTGAAAAACTACCTATTGGGTACTGCACTCACTACCTGGGTGACGGGATCATCTGTACCCCAAACCTCAGCAGCATCCAGTATACCCATGTAACACACTTGTTCATGTATCCCCTGAATCTAAAAAGTTGAAATTATTTTTTTAAACGAGAAGATAAAAAAAATATAATGAAATAGATAACATTTATTGAGCATTGAATATTCTATAAATTGTTTATATATGTTGTCTTTTTTTTTTTTTTTGAGGCGGAGTCTCACTCTGTCACACAGGCTGGATGGAGGGCAGTGGCGTGATCTCAGCTCACTGCAACCTCTCCCTCCTGGGTTCAAGCAATTTTCTGCCTCAGCCTCCCAAGTAGCTGAGATTGCAGGCACCCGCCACCATGCCTGGCTAATTTTTTTGGTATTTTTAGTAGAGATGGGGTTTCACCATCTTGGCCAGGTTGGTCTTGAACTCCTGACCTTGTGATCCACCTACCTTGGCCTCCCAAAGTGCTAGGATTACAGGCGTGAGCCCCTGCGCCCTCTGTATATGTTGTCTTTATTGATGTTTAAAACAAACTCAGGAATAAATATTATAACCCCGTTTTGTGAATGAGAAAACCAAAGCTCAGCTCTGTTTGTAGTTTGCCAAGGCTACACTGGTAA